TACAGATTAGTACTGAAATGTAATAAGTGAAAATTACCAAAAGGTTGAAATTATGGAAAACTGATGCCATATGACCTACATGTTTATGCCACAATCCACTGAAAAAAAGCCTTACCTACTGGATATCTGGTAACAAAGTCTGAAGGAAATATATTCATTATTAAATGAGAATTAGCAATTTTAGTAAAAAGAAACAAACCACAACCTCACCAAAAACTAAAAAAACCCCAACCAACCGTCCAAAACAGCAGGACAACATGAGTTCTTGTGCCTCAAGGGTAAAAATCATCACATGGTGTGTGTGTTCTTTAGGTAGTTCACATGTTTCTCAAGTGAACAGATAGCTGCTGTCATAAGGTTGATATTTACCTTGTATGTTTTCCTCAAAGTGAACAGCATGACTTCTTATTGAAGGGAGACTCTTGACAAGTCAACACCAGTGGAAGGCTAAATATATTCCACTTTCAAGCCCAGTGAAAAAGGGAGCCTCCTGAAGACAGAGCTGCTGTTACTGCTGCCTGTGTCTCTGTGAGCTGCTCGCAACAGAACTGAGACAAGGAGAAATAGAAAAAAAATACCCCAAAACAAACCCCAACAACAAAACCGAACTTAAACCACAAACAATGTAAAAACAGTAAGAATACTTCTGGACCTAAAGCTGATTATGGAATACAAACCTATTTCCTACTTTTAAGCAAAACAATAAACTTGTAGCAGATTAAGAATGCCAGAACTAAACTTAAAGTCCTAAGTTAAAGCCATCAGTACTGGTTAGTGCCTAATTAGTACAAGACAGAATTTACTTAACCACCTTCCCCCCACAAAGACCCCCAAACCACCAAAAAACCCCAACCAAACAATATAATGTCCCCCACCAACCCTAACCCCAAAACTAATCTTGATGGGAAACTTTATATATGAGAAACTTTATATGAGAAACATGTACTCAAAAAATATAACCTTAAAAAAAAAAATTTAACAGAAATTGCAACCATTTTGTTTCAAGCCATTGAGAAGTTTTGTTTCAATGAAAATGTTAACATCAATGCAGGCATCTTTACTTAATATGGAAAATTAGCAGCAGGTCTGTAGTTAACAGAATACTAAGCATGCTATAGAAATAAAGTTAAAATCTAATTCCTTATCCTTTGGAAAAGACTGACAACAGCAGCCTTTTTCCTTCTGTCTGAGTGCCATGGTAGTAAGTGGAGGTTGGGGGTAGAAAACAGCTCTGATGTGTGTAGTAAAACAAAAGCAGCAGCTCCCACGAACTTTCTACTGTCAAACTACTGAAGGGTCACAGATGAGGGGTCAGGGCAGCTGACAAGTGCTCATACAATATTTATTCATGGATCAGTCTCACCTTATAATGCACCAATTCAAACAAAAGAACTGGGTATTAAATATGTATTTCATTAATTCAGGTCCAATTATCAAGTTTGGAACTACAGACAATTTCTTATTAACATATATTACCCACTACCTTATCCATGTATAAACAATGAAACTTACTTGGAACATATGCATGCTTATTATCCTGGGTAGTTCAAATTAAAGAATGCTTCAGAGATTTACTACCTAATGAAGGTTAGTCTTTGTAATATAGAAAGCTTAGTGTAGAAACAGAACTTTCACTTTCAGACATACTGTTACAAAGTGGAAATTTCAGAAGCCCAATAGCAAATTTACACCAGGTTAGTGTTTCAGCAAAAGAAGGTCCTTGCAAAGTCAAAGCTAACTGTATTAAAAGTTACACAAATCCAAGTATGTGCTTGTAATTTATATATAAAAAGTGACAATCTGATTTTCAGTAATCTTAATACATTTTCAGAGTCCATAGTTGAATCCATATATCCCTCCCATACGCTATTACTTGAACCAACACGTGCATTTTGCATCAGAACATTGACCATTCTACCACTGCTGCCTATTTCTATAGATCTACGCCGGGATGCGGGTTGCAGCTTCCTCTTCTGCATCAGCTCTGTTAGCGTTTATTTCTGCCAGGGTTCGACCAAACCGAGTCCACTCGTCACTGCGGGGAACGGCAATTTGCTGTTGACAAAGAGAATGTTACTTGAACTTACTGATAAATAAGAAGTGAGCTCATTTGGAACAGCAGAGTGCTTAAGTAATGTTCAGAAGAGGTTCCGACAGAAAAGCTTATCTTATTTAGTGCAACTTTTAAAAATAGTCTGAGCATCAAAAGCTCTAACTAATAAAGGAAGCTGAATTTGAGAATCCTGTATTTAAGTATGTAATAATACTATTACAAGCTTGCATGATCCGCCTCCATCCGAGATGGATGTCCCAAAATGGGGATACTAATGCCATATCCTCATCCAATTGATTAGTTACGTACTACCTCAGTACACAGACTTGCAATAGCAACAGCTTCCCTGCAGGAACAAAGTCAGGACTGCTTCACTGTAAAATGTTTTGCTCGGTACTTCTCAAGCTGTGGTCAGAATTCACATGTCCCAGTTACAAAGAAGATTTTTTAATCTTATTTCACCAGCCTTAGAATAATACTTTTAGTTTCTGAGTGGCTGCCAGATAACATGCTAAAAAGTTATCCTACAATTTCTGAAATAGACACAAAAAGTAAACATTAATTTGAAAATAAAAATTAAACCTTATACCCCTAATCACAGGGGAAAAAAAGTTAAAAGCAAGTTGCTAAATACGAGTAAAAGTCAAAGAAACTCAAGTGTTTTGCAGTGTAGTTTGCACAATACAGAGTATACATACCTCTCCCACATCATATATAACTATTTGTCCCTCTGAATCACCAACAGCAATCTCTCTCCCAGAGTGTGTCCATCTCACACGGTTCAGAGCAGGGTTACCCTCCACAGTAATGCTTGCAGTTGGCACCTGTATCCATTTAAAACACATGGATAAAAATGCATGAGGATTCCATAAGCTACAGGTTACAGAACACTCCTAGTCCCTCCATGTTGTATCAGTGCCCAACATTTCCACTGACACTGAATATGCAGATCTGAGACTCTCAGTGGCCTTAAGCTATCACCAGTGACATGACCAAAACAACACATCTTTTGTCCCTTAGCCAAAGTACAGACACCCTCTATCAAAAAGCACATCTGCACTCCTGTCATGAGACATGAGGCATTGACAGGCAGTCAGACAGCAAGGAGGAGCCCTGCCATCTCAAGAAAGATTATGACAAAAGGCAGGGATGAAGTCAGCTGCTTTGGCAGGTTAAAGCCTGTCCAAAGGCTAGAACTGGGTAACTCCCATTTGAAGCCATAGGCTGGCATATGGTCCTACAGAACTGCTCTTCCTTCTATGTGCAGTTTTAAGAAGGTGAAATATATGTACTGAGTATCTGTCAGGTTCTTCCTCTCACCTACCTCCAACAAATTTAAGTCTCAGAAAAGATTTACAGTATAATTAAGTTTGTAACTCACACCAGAAAACTCAAATATTCACTTCTCGAGTTTAGCAACAAATTACAATTTCACTGCAGTATTATTATAGCAAAGGTAACATGGCAATAGGAACAGTGGTGTGGGGGTAAGAAAGAGGCCTGCTGACACTGTTAAGCTATAGGCTGCCAAGGCCATACTGGGGGGAGGTCTATAATCACTTTCACAACATGGATCAGTGTTACACTGACAGATGCTTTGCACTCTTGTTACAATTAAAACAATTTAATTACCACTGTTACTCATTATGAGGAGTCATTTGAGTAACAACCCGTAACCAAAGAGTAGTATCTGTTACACACAGAAACTACTGGAACTACAGAATATTTAAGAACAACAAAAAAAAAAAACCCAAACCAAAACACTCTGTTGAACTTCTAACATTTTTTCCTCCCCAAAGTATACACTTTTCCAGCTGCATTTGACTGTTAACCTGACAGCCTCACCTCAGTATCATTGTTGAGATTCCACAGGTCAAGCCTGCCCATCCCATCCACACAGGCAAACAAGGCAGGGTGAGTTGGAGACCACATCACATCATAAACGTAATCCGAGTTGTCTTCAAAGGAGTAGAGAGGTTTGTTATTCTGAAAAAAGCAAATGTAACAATGCAATACCCAAACTCTGCACTTCAAAATTATAAAGCTAACGGGTAAAGCAAGATACAGAACTTCAGCAGCATTATCACCAGTAACTAAAAGAATGATTCACATTTTGACTTACTTTAAAAAAATGCCTCTGCAAAAAGCATCCCCAAATTAATGCTATTGTTAAAGGGATGCTTTCCAAAGCATGCAGCCTTTTTGCTGGCTGCTACTATAAAACAATCGGTAAGCAAGCTAATATTGTAAGAGATGGTAAATTCAATGCATTAAGAATGTTCTAAATCAAACCAATGATAATTCAGCAACAGCACTTCAGGCTATTACTGGGAGATTCCAACTCTGCTTCCTCTGCTTTGCATCCCTCAGGGCATCAAACTAGAGGTAATTCTGGCAGTGGGAATGACACATATTTCTATTGCGAGCCTCCTGGAGTTTAACTGACAGCAGGTTTTGGTGCTGTCCCTTAATCCCCCACAAAATTGTAGCAAAACATTTGCCTTGTGCATGATACATAGTAACTGATTTTACAATATGATTTACATTTGATTACATTGTAATTGCTCTTGAAACAAAGGGCAAGAGGATGAACAGAATGGATCGGAAGTATACAAATGATGTACCACTTGAAAGCGAAGCTTTATGTTGTTAACTATAGTTTTGTTCATCAGCTGTCTCCTCTTTGCAGGACTGCTCTAGGAACCTAGAGAGCTTCACACAATTTGATTTCAGTTTACTGACGTTTCTTAAGTAGCTTACATTATAGCACCACCTTGTGTCAAGGACTACGAAGAAAACCACTGAACTATCTAAGTTACCTTAGTTGTCCAAAGCTTTACTGTCCAGTCAAAAGAAGAGGTGACAAAAAGATGTGAGAAGTCTACAGGTCCAACTGCTGCATGGCAGTTGATACCTGTGATTGGTCCCTGGTGTCCTTCAAACATCTCACTGATTCCAGCTTTGCTGTTTTAGAATATATAACCAAGGTTAATTTATCTGGAAACCATACACCTGCAGACAGAGACAGCACTGAAATGCAATTTAAATATAGCCACAAGAAGATTTTGCTGCTTTCTATGGAGCTAACCCCACTGCAAAAGGCTTCATCTCCACAGGATCACAGAAGACCAGGCTTGGATACAGACCTTAACTTCAGTATCTATTTTCCGCTAACCTTAAGTGCCAAAATATACCACAGAGAGAAGAGACTCATTCAGCAGGTACCAGTCCACACATTTAACCACATTATTCTCCAAGCAATAGCTAAAACTTCCATTCATGCAAAGAACTAAATCCAGTCCTCAGGAATGAGCATAGAACTTTCACTGACTTAAGTGAAGTTCCGTGTACCTTACAGACACAGGGTTTGGATATAAACCAGTAACAATATATCCCTAATAGCCTCCTATCAGAAGCCGTGAAAAAGAAGGCAGGGGGAGGAACAGATGGGAAGGATGTTACACAAAGTGATACAATTTGGGGTATTTTGGAACCAAAACGCTGTGCAGCAAGGGTGATGCGTATCTGAGATGAAACCTGGACACTCAATTATATTTAAGAAAGCAATTGATAAGATACAGTCAGACAATTTCAAAATAGATTGACCAGCAGGAGAAAAGCTGGCCAATTTAAGATTTGTGCGTGACGTTACTGTACAATTAGCTACAGAACCGATACGAAGTTTGGAATGTTCTGCTACAATTCAGATGAATAAAACTGCAGTGCCCTACAGTGCCCTCATCAGCACAAACAACTCCTAGTCACTGAAGGCAGCAAAGTACTAATCCAGTATTCCAACTTCTGGTTTTAATATAGCTCTTACTCAGGAAACTGTGTGCACTGGAAATCATATGCAGCTAGTTTGAACTCCTTCAAGACAAAGGAGTAAATACACACTAGAAATGATTTTAGGAGTGTGTAGAGCATGCAAGGATGCATCCTTTCACTATGTTTATTTCCTTTGAACAATGAAGTTTGTATTCACCTGCCATGACGACACGCAGTGTATACTGAGCCTTCTTCACTGCCAACAACAAAGTTGTTGACATCTCCAATAGGGAATGACATGCAGGTAACAGCCACAGCCTTGGACTGTTTGTGAACCAGCTCCATGCTATC